GATTTTAAAATGGCGTTGTCCCAAGTGGGTTGGAAGAGGGTGTGGGGGGGGGGGGGTAGGTTTTTCGATGTCCCAGTGCCTTGCATGTCAACGCGGCTTTTACAGTCTTTCAAAGGCCTGGGAGACACACAAAGCTCTGAGGCTGTCCTCGTTTCACAGTAGAGAATATGTGAGCAGCATGGGGACCCCTGACGAGGGGCATTGCCCCAAAACAGGGAGCCAACAAATCAGAGTGTATCCACTGGAAAAATTCACTGCATTCCACATGATTCTCAGAATTCATACAAAAAGCTAATTTTGTATACAGGATGTAAACAAATGAAGCTCATGACAAAGAAAGCATGATAACGTTTTATATATTGTACATCAAGGCGCTGAGGTTTACGACTAATCCCAAAGCACATCATTATCCAACTAATGAAAATGATTAATATTAACAAATGCTGTCTTCACATCAGATCTCAATCTGTGTCTGTGATCATTTACGTCCAGACGTCAAGTCTAAAGGTCAAGCGTCTGGAGTATGAAAAGGCACATATGGAGCGGAGATATTTTTATCTATAACACTTAGAACTGAAGACGCAATATCAGCTCATCTCAACAGAGAAAATGGAGGGTGATTCGCAGCTCTTAGAGGAAGACCCTTCTTGTTCGGTGTGTGGGGAAGTGTTCAGTGTTCCAGTGGTCCTTTGTTGTATTTTATGCGGGTGCAGCTTCTGTGAAATTTGCTGTCAGCAGTTTTGGGAGATGCAATGTCCCTTCTGCAGAAAAGAGGCCTCTGGATCCCATCTCAGAGAGTGCAGGGAGCAAAGACTGAAGGTATTAAATACAGCACAGCACAATGATAAAGATACAATAAAGACTGCATCAAATTGCTCAAGCTTATCCTGCTGAACAATGCATGAAAATAATCAGTAAATCTTATACTGAATATCTTTTCACTATCTTCTATAATCTAACTTATCTTTTAATTAGCAAACTTGTCAGTATGTCAACAACCACCAGCAACCTTGTTACACTCTCTTAAAGGACTTTCTTTATATGGATATTCTATTGGTAAATTCTCAGTTTCACAGGTCTGTGAAAACGTCTTTGTCCCTTGTCTGAATTTCTGAGTTTGGACACATTAACATTGTAAGTGGTCAGATTTAATTATGGATTATGGTAACATATGCACCTAATTTTTAATGTAAGAACAGGCATGGCCATTTATAACTTGAACGTGCGAAGCATTCAGGTTTCATTTGCTTCTAATTATTTTAGCTGTACAAAACAAGCTGGTATTACTTATCACATTATTTGAATGCATTCTTGTAATTATAAACACGCTGGCTTGTAGCTCAAATACATTTACAATTTACTGCACTTTGGCATTCTTTGGTATAAAATAGATATACATATATTCCTCCATTTACTTATAGAGCATAATAAATCGGATATCTCGTACATTCACAGAAAATAGCTTGCTTCCATGTTGCAAAATTGCTATTTCTAAGGCTCTAAGCCTCCACCGAACCACAATTAGAGTCATAATATTCAAATGTTTACTGTTTGGAATAGTTAATCTTTTATAAATACTTCATCTTTAATAGTAAAGCTGTTGGTTATTAGCTTATCTTCCAAGGAGTGGTTGTCCGTCCAAGAGCAAGGTGTCACCAAGAACTCTAGAGCAACTTCTAAAGATCTTCAAGCCTCTCTTGCCTGTATTTCATAAAAATAACTGGTCAAAAACAGTGGTGCTAGTTTGATGGTTTGGGAATGTTTAGCTGTATCAGTACCTGGACATCTTGGCATCACTGAAAGAACTATAAATTCTACTCTGTACCAGAAAACTATTCAGGAGAATAAAAGCCTCCTGTTTTTAAATTTAAGCTGAAGCCCAGCTGGTTTGTGTTCCAAAACAATGATCCCTAAAGAAAGCCGAACTTCTGAAATGGTCTAGTCACATTCCAGAATTAAACTCCAATGAAGTGTGGTTAAAGTGGCAGGATCTAAAACGCACAGCTCACGCTTCAACGCCTACAAACATCACTGAGCTGAAGCAGTTCTTCAAGCAGGAGTGGGCCAAAATTCCTCCATATAAATAACTACAGGAAACATTCGGTTGCAGTTATTGCTGCTAATGCGGATGCAACCAGATACCGGTTACACCTCCATTTGCAGTATTAACTGCAAATAGCGCTGAATGTTTTATAACCTTCTGCATGAACGATTTATCTGGTTGTGTTGTTGTTCATAAAGGGTTTTGGTTAAAGATCTGACAACATTCAGTGTAAAACAATGAAATCAGACGGGGGCAAAAACTTTTTCACAACACTGTTCTTGCCAGTTTTCTGTTTATTTCTCCTATCTTTTAATTTTTCTTATGAGGTGGCATATATTATTTTCTCCCAGAAAATCTTGACATATTCCCTCTTACGTCAATGCCGGGGTCAAATCACTCTCCAGGAGCTTGATGTTACATAATGTGATGTTTAGGCATTCATCAGAAGATATCATGTGTTGGCCTAGACCTTGCTTAGTGATGTATAGTCTGAGTAAATACGGCAGCCAATCAGAAGACAGATCTCCCAAGGGTAATCTTAAGTGGGAGGGAGAGCATAGTACCCCCTTGTGACCCAACTGGGCAATGAAGGGCTCAAAGGAACAATGGCCACAAAGCAGTCACACCTCGCAGAAGACCTGTCATGCCCCATCTGTGGAAGTATCCTGCAAAAGCCCGTAGTGCTGTTCTGCAGACATCGCTTCTGTAAAGTTTGTCTGGAGAGCCAGTGGAATGGTGGAGGATCTTGCGAATGCCCGCTTTGCTGTCAGCCATCATCTATGGGAGAGCTCATAGTCAATACCACGCTTGAGAAGACCTGCGAGGGCTTTCTGGAGCGCTGCAAAAATGACCCTCTTGCGTGCAAGGAGCACGGTGAGACCTTGACACTCTTTTGTTTGGAGGACCTTGAACCCACTTGTAGCAAATGCAAGTCATCTGCCAATCACCAGGGTCACAGGTTATATCCCTTAAATGAAGCTTCACATGACTGTAAGGTATGTCTACATACAGATTCATGGACACTTGCATCTATTTTTGACAGTTGTTTAGATGCAGTGTTGATTCCAATCTGTAGTTTCAACAGTTGTACTGCCAATTCAAGGACTAGAAGGAAACCAAAAAGTTTTTTTTAAATGAGAATAATCATTTGGACAACCGTCCCTTCTCTTTAGGACCTCAGAAATGGTTATTTATGGATTCTTGGCTGTGTTGATTATCAGTCTATTAATAGCGGTATGCTAGGGTTGAGGCCTCCTGGCAGGACTGAAACCAGATGCCCATGTGCTTAGTTTAGAGTTGATGAAAATACAGACTAGTATCTAAAAAATAATCCTCAAAAGAATCTAAAAGTCTTTAAAGGTCAAGACCAAGGATGGATTAGGGTTATGAGGCCCACTCATTTGCCATTGTTTTAGTCCCAAAGATATTTGACAGAAAAGTAAAAAAAAAGTTTGGGCCTCTCTAATGAATAACTAAACAGGTGTGTTTCATTATAGGCACATCTAATAATTACAAATCCCTTTTGCGTTATCATTTGTATTCACTCTAGGAGGAACTGAAAAATGCTTTGCAACCACTTCAGGAAAAACTGAAGCTCTTCCAAAAAGCGAAACTCACTTGTGAGCTAACAATAGATCATATTAAGGTATACTCATTTTGAATTTGCTTTGTTAATCAGATGAACTATAGAAAGAGACAAGTATATGATAGATAGAAAAGTGACGTTTTCATTACAGAGTCAGGAAGAGAACACGGAGAGGCAGATACGAGAGGAGTTTGAGTCGCTGCACCAGTTCCTGCGAGACGAGGAAGCATCCAGACTTACCATGCTAAAGCAAGAGAAGGATCAGAAAACACAGATGATGAGCTATAGGATTGAAGACTTGGAGAACGACATCACTTCACTTAGCAACACTATAAGAACTGTTGAACAGGAGATGAGATCTCAGGATATCCCATTCCTCAAGGTGAGCATTCCTAAAGGAATGACTTAAAAGCACAACTTACAGTTCACATGTTGCACTTTTAGTAATCTGCTTTTCTTGTTATTTAACCTAGAATTATAAAGACACCATAAAGAGGTATAAATCCTTTCTGTTATCAATTTTACACACATTTTTCCATCTAAATAGTATAATTTGCTTTGTGACCTAGACCCAGAATAACTCTGTATTCTTTGCTGTGTTGACAGAACCTGGCGTGTTCCCCAGGATCCAGAGATGACAACAGGTTCACTGCTTGATATAGCCAAACATCTAGGCTCATTCAAGTTTAAAGTCTGGGAAAGAATGATGGAAATCATTCAATATAGTGAGTATATTCAATATCAAACTACCAAGTCATTTTCACGTTTTCCACATTTATTTATGTCAATTTTAAATCACTAAGAAATATCCAGATCAAATTTAACCAAAAAGGAAATTTATTTTTTATCAAGACTAAACACAAAAATGGCCAGTATATCATAATGTAAAAAAACCACATTCACATGACTGTAATAATAATAATAATAATAATAATAAACTTAAATAAATACATTTATAAAAGTATGATTACATTTTATTTAAATTTCCCTTCTTACAATGTAATTATATATGTAAGTACTGAGTAAAATTAATTAACCACATGTATTTACTGTATGGTTAGGTGTAAGATAGGGGGTTGGTTTAAGGTTAAATTGTGTGTATAATTACGCGTAATTTATTGTTATTAATATAGTAAGTACATGTATCACGTAACAAGGACACTGTAAAATAAAGTGTTACCAAAAGTACACAAATGTTTTCATGGTAGTAATATGTATTGAATTTAATTCATGTTTTGAGGGCGGAATTGGATTAACTGTCAAGAAAATGATGTCAGTAATGTCATAATGCATCTATGAATTGAAGAACAGTGTTGGGGAAAGTTACTTTTAAAAGTAATGCATTACAATATTGCGTTACTCCCTAAAAAGTAACTAATTAGGTTACTTAGTTACTTTTTATGGAAAGTAATGCGTTACGTTACTTTTGCGTTCCTTTTTAAATCTGGGCAGGGCTTGCTTGTTTGTTTTTAATATAAAAAGTTCTTCTTTTACAAATGTAAAAGCCCTTTTCACAACAGAAGTGAAATGAATATGCCTCAGGCTGAAGGAAATGCAAATTCACGTCTGTACAGTAGAGGGCGCAGCTCAAACTAATTGCATGAAGAATATGACGCAGGAGAAGAAAGTTCAACATTATTCAGCAATAACAAAAATTAAACAAGCGTGTCATTTTTGCTTATTAGTATGGTTGAATTAGATAATCGAAGGTCTTATTTAATATTATTATTTATTTAATATTATTTAACATATTTAATTATTGCAAGTTTATATAA